GTTTGAATTTGGCATCTACCTAGGGCTATGATCAACTACTTGTCAAAGGAAATTAAGTTAGAAGAGGTGTTGTTTAAAACTAAACTGAAACTTTTTAAAAAAGACCTATGTTCCATACAACGTACATAACAAAAGGCACCTACAGAAGAAATATAACCAATATATGGAGAAGAGAGGCTTCTGGTGCTATCAGGTAGAATCAAGGGTGCAGGTAAGGCGGAAGGGAGGAGAGAAGTGAGCAGTCCATAATAAGAAAGGGAGGGCACAGAGGAACCGTGAAGTTGTTTCAGCACATTTACCAGTTTCTGGTCCTTAAATGATAGCTGTTCACAATGTACCCAGACCACGTTGAAGCTAATGACCAAGTATTTTCAACTCTGATGAAAACAGCAAGAAAATCAGTGAATACTAAAAGCCACCATTTATTAAAAGTTCTTGACAATATGCAATTGCTAATCTATGCAACACCTCTCAAGATAACTTATATCCACTTATTTTATTTTTTAAGACAGAGTCTCACTCTGTTACCCAGGCTAGAGTGCCATGGCCTCAGCCAGCCTAGCTCACATCAACCTCTGGGCTCAAGCAATCTTTCAGCCTTAGCCTTTCAAATAGCTGGGAGTCCAGTGAGTGGCACCACACCTGGCTAATTGTTCTATATTTAGTAAAGACAGGGGTCACTTTTCTCAGGCTAGTCTCAAATTTCTGACCTCAAACAATCCTCCTACCCCAGCCTTCCGCAGTGTCAGGATACAGGTGTGAGCCACTTCGGCACCTACTCCATATCTTCTTTTACAAATCAAAAAACAGACCATCACAGCTGCTAAGAAAAGTCCTCAGGGTTACACAGGAGTAAGTGGCAGAGCCAATATTTAAGCATTTCTGATTTCAAAATGTCTTTTCATTAAGCATACTGACTTTCAAAAAGTATACTTACCTGCACATAAAGAAAAAAAGAATTTCCTGCATCTAAGAGCACTAGAGTGGGTTAAACCAGAAGTATAAATGACCAATGCCAATTTCCTAGTTTGGGTAACTGTACTGTGATTGTCAAAGATAATATCACTGGGGAAGTTTTGTGAAGGGTACATGGAAGCTCCAGATGATATCTGGATCTCCCTGTGACCCCAAATTACTAAAAATTAAAAGGTTTAATTTTAAAAAAACTTTAAAAGTTTCTCTTTTAAATAATGGGAGTGGAGTTTTTGGAAAGTTATATAGCGTGTTTTTCCTTTGGATAATGTGTATTTTTTGAAAGGCCAAGTCTCGGTTGTCTGCAATAACCTAAATATCACAAGAAATAAAATGATATTGGATTGTTTTCTATTCTTATTCAATTTTTGTAAACTTTTATCAGCACATATTAATGAAGTACATGGCAGTTCACGATCCCATCTGTGCTAATGTATGTGCCCCCATACCCCAGAATCAAGATGCGTTTTATTCTGTTGTTGTTGCTTTATTCTGGCATGCTGACATAAAGAAACCAAGGAAACACAGTTCTCAATCACATCTAAACTGAACATCGTAAGAATTAAATGCCTGCTCAACATTAAAATATTTGATAAGAAAATGTACTTTTTATCCTAAGAATTATTAAACTGCTTTTTTCCAGTAAATACAGCAATGTTGAAACAGCTACCATTTACTGAATGCCTTCTGCCAATGGATCTACTTGCTATCAACAGTATAATGTAAAAATCAATCTACCCATTTTACATATAAGGAAAGCTAGACTCCTAAAGATTAACTTGCTAAAACTATGCAACTATTAAATGGCCAAATGAGGGTTCCAACTCAGGTCTCTAAGAAGGACATGCTTTCCACTATCTCTGCCCCTCCAGGCTTTCATTCCTGTGCTTACAAGGCATCTATTTTATCCTTTACCAACCAAACTTCAATGACAAAATACCCATTCTAAGTACATTTACACATTTTTTAAAAATTTCTCAATATTCATTCCTGGCTCTTATTTAAAGTTAAAAGTTTGTTACTGAAGCTGAAGAAAAATCGTAGAAAAATGGAAGAAATGCAAGTGGTATTCCAAGTAACAATATGTGCCTGCTCAAGTGGGAAACATGAGCAGAGCAGCTGCCAAGTTCATTCTGGCCTCACATGATACATCTCACTCATCTCAGGCCAACTTACATTCGTTTCTCTCCTTCTTTACCTCCCCCACTTCCTCTTCGTTCCAGAAGCATATAAAAATTGTTGCAAAGAAGCTGGATCGAGTTTCCAAGAATACACTGAGAACACTGTCAAATAAGGGAATGGCTATCTAGTCCAAGCATAACCTTATTTCCATTAAGAAAATTGTAAAATGCTGAGACAAATCTTCATGGGGTCAGAAAGAAATGAAGAAGAAACAAAATTATCTAAATATTGATGATCAAAACCCAATAGACTTGGAGGGAAGAATGCTCAAAAGAACTGATTAAATGTGCCTTATAATCTGCTCTTAGGCACAGGGCCTTATAATTTTGTGTGAGTTAACTTCCAAGCTGGGTAGACTTTATAATTCAAACTTCTGTTTGAAGTCTTTAGTTATGCCTAATTCTATTTCCAGTTTTTATTCCCCAGCCCTGATCCCTATCTTTTCAACCCCAATGCTGATGAATTTCAGATTTCTGATACTCATAACCAAACACTACCAAAACTGGCATTATTCTTGAAGATCCACAGACGCCATGTCTTGCCTTCTATCTATCTACTTTTTTGGAATCTTTAAACTCTGATATATGTAACCAGTACTATCTTTTAAAAGGAACAGACAGTTCTCAATCACTCATGCCTTTAAAGGGTCAAAGTAAAACAGCTCAATGATTTATATATTTTTTAATCACCTAAACATTTTCCCTTTATGGTGATAATGTTGGCATTCCAAGTTCTTTCTTCCCAACTTCTTGGTGAACTAGAGAACCATACATATTATTATAATAGTTAAGAAAAATAAACATTTTGTGAAGTCAAGCTCACAGACTTACAAATCCTAGTCTTCTCTCCCTAACTATGCATCCGCTAACAAATAATACTAATAAATATTTCTATTCTTATGTTCAGGGAATCAGGTAATAATGCTATAAAGTCTACTTTACAAGGCCTCTATCTTTCCCTCCTTCCCCAAACACACACAAAAAGGTCTGTCCTAAATAGACAGGGTGGACATAAAGTCCGCATGCAATTCACTGCGTTAAACTATTTTAAATTGCGTATCAACTTCCTGTCCACCCTGTATAACCAAGAGAACTGAAGACATGTGCACACAAGAACTTGTACACACATGCTCCCTAGCAGCATTATTCAAAACAGCCAAAGGGTAGAAACAATCCAAATGTTTCTAAATTGGTGACCAAATAAAGCAAAATGTAGTATATTCCAAATGGAATATTGTTTAGTCATAAAAAAGAGTGGAGTAGCAATACATGCCACAGCACGTGTGAACACAGACAAACCTTCAAAACTTTATGCCAATACGTCCCAATTACATAATTCCATTTACACGAAATGTCCAAAATAGGCAAATTCTTAGATACAGAAAGTAGATTAGTAGTCTCCTGAGACTGGGCAGAAGAGAAACATGAGGAATGACTACCAATGGGTATCGGGTTTCTCTTTAGGGTGATGAAAATATTCTAGAATAAGAACATGGTAACAAGAGTGGTGCAATTTTGTGGCTATACTAAAAACTACTAAATTCTACACTTTAAAATGTGGATTGTAAAGCACATGAATTCTCTCTTTAAAAAAAAAAGAGGATAAAGAAATATAAGCAACTGAAAACATCAAATTATAGGGTAAGAAAGGAGAAAGTGGTAAGAATAGTGAAGAAACATGAGAAACTGAAGTGGGTTCCAGAGTAGGAAGGAAAGGGCAAATCCCAGAGCAGGAAGCAGAAAGTGGGTTCTAGAACAGGAAGGAGGAAGTGACTTTCAGAGACAGAAGGAAGAGGTAAGTTCCAGACAAGGAAGGAAGAAGTGGGTTCTAGAATGGTAATGAGAAGGAGAGTTCCAAATCAGGAAGGCGGAAACGGGTTCAAGAGCAGAAAGGAAGAGGTAAGTGCCAGAGCAGGGAGGAAAAAAGAGGTCAAAGCAGAAAAGAAGAGGCAAGTTCAGAGCAGAAAGGAGAAAATGGCTTCCAGAGCAGGAAGGGGAAGGTAAATCCCAGATCAGGAAGAAGGAAATGGTTGTCAGAGCAGAAAGGAGGAAGTAAATTCCAGAGCAAGAAGGCAGAGCTGGTTCCACAGCACAGGAAGAAGGGAACTGAGTGGAACTGAGGGGTGGTCAGTCTTCCAGGTGTGGCAAAGTGCTGAGTGTGAGTGCAAGTTGGCTGTGTGGGTGTGGAAAAAGAGTTGAAGGAATGGATGTCTAATGCTTCTTTTCTGACTGGAAATAAGCAGCAACTTGTTAGGGTAGGAAGTTCGCAGTAAATAAAGGAAGTTAATAATAACCTCTGTGAATTACAGAAGAGACAGCGAAAAAAGTCAGTTATTAGAAGTTCCCCACACCCATCTAATAAAAACAACAACAATTTCCATGTTTGACACTGTAAAAGAATTTACTTAAGCACAAAGTGAATGGGGGCATCTCAGAAGAAATTCTTTCCTGTCCAGTATCCCAGGTCCTCCAGGCTTGTGCCTGCTGCTTTTACAGAAAAGTTTGCATTTTTTTCAAGGCTGTCCTACTCCATTCACCAACTGCTTCAATCCCGCAGTAGGCTGCTTCTTCATTTATTCGTTTTCTTCATATTTTATGATATTTCAACAACTAGTACTGACATCAAAGATGGATATGAAGATGCCTACTATGAAGCTTTTTATGACATTAACATCTCCTAATTCACTACATCTTGTTTTTCTCTCTTTCTATTGGTATTTCATTATTTTTTTCAACATCAAGAAACTAGAATTCTACTTGATGGGTTCAAGAGGCATTAATAGTTTTTATTTTCCATGCTTCAGTAACTAGTAATTCATGTTTAAATGAATAAAACTAGCTTTTTACCTTTAGCTGGTAAAGTGGACATCAAGTCTGAGGATGAAAATTTTGTCAGAATCTTATAAATCAAGTCCTAGATCTCCAAGGATAAGTACAATGGAATAACTCCACCAGATGATTTTACCTATGGACAAAAGTCAAGGATGTATTAGAATTTTGTGTACTAAATCACATAAACACCCCTAGTCTCCCAGAAGTGCTAAAGTTTCTGATTTCTACTCATTAGACAAATGCATAGTAGCTAACATTTTTTAAAAGCTTTCTCTATAGCAGGTGCTTTTTCAAATATAACCACATTTGTTTCTTATCCCAATGCTGTTTTACAAATAAAGAAAATGGAGCACATCTAGCGAATGGCAGAGCCAGGATTTATACCCAAGGATTCTAGCCCTAGGTTCTGAGCACTTAATCACTCCATGTACCATCCTGACATGGGTCTGTATACCCTACTCTAGGAAAGAATCTCAAAGCTGAAGTGGTATGAGGAATCTTAGGTGGTTTATTCCAATTTGATTGCAGTATTTCTCAACATATGTAAAAATGTGGCCCAAAATTTAAAAATTCTATGATCAAGTACAATCTCCTTGGAAAAAATTATGGTGTTCCTCAAAGAACTAAAATCATCATTCAATCCAGCAATTCCCAAAGGAAAAGAAGTCATTATATCAGAAAGACATCTGCACTCAAATGTTTATTGAAGCGCAACTCACAATTGCAAACTTGTGGAATCAACCTAGGTACCCATACATATACCTATATATATGTAAAATATGGAATACTGTACAGCCATAACGAAGAATGAAATAACGTCTTTTGTAGTGATGGGTGGAACTGAAAACCATTACCCTAAGTTAAGTATCTCAGGAACAGAAAAATAAATACTATATACACTCACTTATAAGTGGGAGCTAAACAAGGGGTATACACAATCAATCAGAGTGATGTAATAGACTTTAGAGACCAGAATGGCGGCAGGTAGGAAGATTGAGGAGTGAAAAATCACCTTTCAGGTCCAATGTACACTATTTGGGTGACAGTACACTAAAATCCCTGACTTCACCAGTATACAATCCATCCACGCAACAAAAAACCAGTTGAACCCGCTAAAGCAGTGGTTCTCAACCTTCCTGATACAGTAGCAATGAAAATTAATTTTATGGTTGGGGGTCACCACAACATGAGGAACTGTCTTAAAGGGTCATGGCATTAGGAAGGTTAAGAACCACTGGTCTAAAGCCACTGAAATAAAAAATACTACAGTCAAGATGATATAGTGGGAAAAAAGCTGAATCAAGGGAAGGCAACGGGGGTGTTTTAGGCAGAAGGCCAACTAATGAGCTGAGTGGTGGGGGTGTATCTGAAACTCTCCCAAGCCTGAGTTTGCTCAAGTAGAAGACCACTAACGCACTTATAGTTCTAATATTCTGTATCACTAAACAAAGAAAAAGTACACTCTACGAAGCCCTTCACCTCTTCCCTTGCTAATGTTTATTTCCTTCTCTCTGGTTAGACATTCATTACCATTCTTCTAGGCTATGGCTGAAATCTGGACCACGCTGCCAACTGGTCTCTTCTTTCATTTCACATTTTGTTAATGCAAATGTCTCCTGGAAAATTTAGTATTTAAGGACAACAGACATTACAAGTTGCTCCTCCAAATTATTTTAGGAAAGAAACAGAGCATCAAGAAATAACAATGTGCAATTCTTGGTGCTAAGTATTAAGTATACTATATTAGGAGCTCGACTGGAAGTTCTTTGGGGACAGGGAACAGGCGAGAGAGCCTGGAGCAAGTGGCAGATGCTGGGTGCATGTCGGACAGCAATGATTAGCAGGACATCTTCCTCCCCCAGGGACATCCCATGTTTGCTAACTCAGTTTGGTGCATACATTTACTTACACTTGCAAATACATAAACATGTTGAGACTCAATATGGGAACTTGAAACAAGGCCTGCAGTCACTATATTTTCTAGATATTTCTGCCAAAGTAAACATTTTTCCTTGGATCTCGCTTCTCTGACTCTCCAGTCTTGTTTTCTTTGTATTTTGCTTTGATCATGTCTTCATTTCCACTGTTCTTTCTGAACATTTTAAATGTGTGCCTTTGCCCATAATAAAGCAGTAAAGAAACTCTAAGGTGTGCTTGTGGGTGGGGACTGGTTTTGAGCATGAGAGGAGCACATCCTAAAGGATCAGTACCCAGTGTCAGCATCCAAAATCCATGGCATTACTGCCTTTCCATCATCAGCGTGAGGGGAGATTAAACTTCCAACAAACTACCAAATGCAATTTCTCTTAATGTCTGCAGCCTTTACACTATATAACACATATATTGCAACAGTAGCAGTGGTAGTTAATAGTAGCAGCAGCAAAAATAATACAATGACAATGGTAACTGGCACATAGCATTTACTCCATGCCTGGTGCCCTTCTCAGCACTTTACTGGTATTAATCATTGGCCTTCAGAATAAACCCATGATGCAGGCACTACAGTTATCTGCAGTTTATAGATGAGGTGAGAAACAGATTAGTTCACCTGCTCAATAACCCATATGTAAGCCGTAGAGGCATGATTTGAGCCCAGACAGTTTGATGGTGACTCATAATCCCATTAATTTAAAATGCCTCCTAAATACCATAATGAGAGGCCCAGGCTTGGTGAACTGCTTGAGCTCATGAGTTCAAAAACAGCCTGAGCGAGAGTGAAGACCTCCATCTCTAAAAAGCCAGGAGTTGTGGAGGCTAATTGTAGTCCCAGCTACTCAGGAGGCTGAGACAAGAGAATCACTTGAGCCCAAGAGTATCAGGTTGCTGTGAACTGTGATACCAAGGTATTCTACCAGGGGTGACAAAGTGAAACTCTGTCTCAGGAAAAATAAATAAATAAATACCACACTAAGGGCCCCAAGACTCTCCAAGGCCTGTTTGGTCAGTCAAACTTGAGTGAATTTGTGTAAGCCCACAAACCATATCGCATGTCCAGAAACATCCCAGTTTCATGAAACAAGATTCTTCCCCATCAAACAATTTCACAAAAATCCAGAACTAAAAGTCTAACTTAATGATTATTGCTCGTCAGATTCTTACATGGATAAAAACCAAAATAAAATAGAATTCAGAAGCTATTCCTTTTAACTGTATACAATAAAGACTAAATGCTAAGCTTCCCTGCACTAATAATTTTTTACTTCTTATTTCAAAAGAATTTCAAACTTGCAGAAATGTTGAATGAAGTATTCCAAGGACCCCCACCTACCCTTGTCCCAGAGACCCCAATCAAGCTGAGTCCCCTCCCCTGAGAATGTTCTTTCCAGGATCACACTTCATACACAGTTGTCATGTCTCCTCAGTCTCCTCCGATCTGGAACAGTATCCTTGACCTTCATCACCTTTACTTCACGGTATACTGCAGGTTAATTATTTTGTGAAATGCCCCAGAAATGGATTTAGTGACATTTCCTCTAGAAGATCCAAATATTACACTTGGGCGGGGGGGGGGTGGGGTGGGTTGTGATGTTCACTGCATCCCATCATGTGATGCAGGACATCACTGTGTCCCGTCACTGGTGATGGCACATTTGATCCCTGAGTAAGGCTGGATCTTCCTAGGTTCCCCACTAAAGCTATCATGTTACTGAGTAGGGGTCTGTGCACAGATACTTCAGGTTATATAACTATCCTGATGCTCACCCAACTTTTACTCACTGGTTTTAGTATCCACTGAGGTTTCGTACCTGAATTTTTACTGTGATGACTGCCAAACTCCAGCACTACTTCTATATATCAGACGGCATCCTATATTAAGGAAGAAGCTTCTCCTCACTTATGTATGCATTTCCTCATTTATACCAGAGTGGATTCACGAATGATTCCTCATCTGTTAATGGGAGATCATCTGTAACTATCATTATTATCCTGGTGCTCAAATTAAACCAGAATTTGAATTCCTAGGTTTCACAAAGGCTTAGTAGACATCCCTTCAAGCTGACTGGCATGTTTTCTGTTTTCTCCCCCGCTGTTCTTTAGAATTCCTGTGTCTTCTGGCACAATAAGATATTCAGGGCTCATCTTGTACATTTCCTGCCCTGGCCCTAGAACCAGACATTTTTATTCAAAGACCCATGGTTCCTTTAAGCACAGACTAGAATTTGGAAACTAACACCGGGGCGGCAGATGTGCTCCTATCGCCTGGGCTGTCCTCTGTATCCTGGCCCTTTCAGTGAGCAGAGATAGAAAAAAAATGAGCGTGTGTGTGAACAAATTTTTTCATAGACATGCACATACTTTAACATTTATATAGTTTATTTTTTTAATAGGGATCTTGATATATGTGGGTCATTGTGAAAGTTCTGAGATACACAAAAATGAAATGTAAAATTCACGCCCAGGGAAATAAATGCAGCCCTCCCAGCAGCACGGATAAGCCAAGTGTTGAAACTTGCAAGATTGAATTAGGAAGGATGCTGCTGACTGTGGTGAAATGAGGGACTGTAACACAGTCTGTCTCAAAACTTTCATAATGACCTACATATCTCCCAGGCTGGTCTCATACTTCCCAGGCTCAACAGATCTTCCCGCCTCAGCCTCTCCAGTAGCTGGGATTAACATTTATATTATTTCTATATTGGAATTTATATACACATAAAATTTCTACACATCAAAATCCATACTTTCGCACTGATATCTCAAATTCTAATCCACAGCACAGGGTTCCTTCCAGCTCTCCCCTTTATTATCTGCAACTCTGTTCCCTGACAGTAAGAAGTCTGGCTCCAATTACTTTCAATATATTTGCTCATTTGCCCTGCAGGGCCTCCTTGCCCAGACCTGCCTAATAAATTTTTGACTAAATTATTAAGGAAGAAAGGAAGGAAACAAAGAAGGAAGGAAGAAAGGCAAGCAGCTTACATCAATTTTTCTGAGATTTGGTAATCTACTTAGGATAAAAACATAATCCAGGACAAAAGACTAAATATATCAACACGGCAGCTCATTCCCTGGCCAGAGCAGATAACAGAGTTTAAAGTTGTCTCCAACAGCTTGTCAACTTCCAATATGCGTAGGACACACAATTGTTCATCTATTTACTACAAAAAGAACTTTGATGTATCTAAGTATATT